ACTCACTTCACAATAGTGTCTAATATTACTTTCTACTAGCAACAAATCAAAGTACTCACTTCACAATAGTGTCTAATATTACTTTCTAGAATCTCCACCTCATCCTTTGACCACATTCCTTGTTTCCATATGTGACCTGTTACAACAAATCACTCATTTTTACAACTTAAAGATCAAGGCCACAGATGATGATTACAAATAACCATAGTATCAGAGTTAGTATTCAAGTAGCACTGAACTGAAATTATGGAAAACATAAAACCTTCCATAACAATTTTCTGGTCAATGAAGACAACAGAAACAACATAGCAGTTGCTTATATTTCATTTAAAGAGGGTGCTGTTTTATACAAAAAAATACATATAACAAGATTATGAAAGTTAACATTTTTGTTACCTTAAAATGTGTTTCAGATAGATACTTACAGCATTCTATAGCTAACACTTCACATCAATGCCAAAAAGTTTTTATATATGCACCAAACAAACTCCTATTTTTAACCCTAACAAAGTTCATTACACCCGTTGACAATGCTATCTGCATTAGACTATAGCTCTCCAGTAATATGAAAGTAATCCCCTCGAGTAGTTAGTGCATACCAAAAATTCATTTCTTGACAAAACAAAAAAAGACATCATAAAAGGAGAAGAAGGATGGGTGATTCTGTGGAGAGGTGGGTGTATCTGAACATGTAAGAAAATTTAACTTTATAAACACTCACCTCTTTACAGAATAGAATCCCACATTGAGAAATGGTGGAGACATTGATGTGGATAAAGAAAAGTAAAATGACAAGCTACTTTCTGAGAATATAGTGACAGAAAAGAAAAAAATTAACGGAGTGCATCACCCACTCAGGGAGGGGAGGGGAATCAGTGGGAGCATCATTTTGTTGGAGACCACTTTTAGCAAAAGCTGGGAACACCTTCACCAATACGGTCGAAGAAACATCCTATATGGGGTGGAACTTGCCTGTGTATCTCAGAGAGTCAGCAGACCATGTACTCGTAGCAATACCCATTTGGCCAGTCACAATTAGCAAGAATAGTCCAGTTCAGAGAAAGCAATACCCATTCAGCCAGTCAAAATTAGCGAGAATAGTCCAGTTCAGAGAAAGCAATACCTATTTGGCCAGTCACAATTAGCGAGAATAGTCCAGTTCAGAAAAAGCAATACCCATTTGGCCAGTCACAATTAGCGAGAATAGTCCAGTTCAGAGAAAGCAATACCCATTTGGCCAGTCACAATTAGTGAGAATAGTCCAGTTCAGAGAAAGCAATACCAATTTGGCCAGTCACAATTAGTGAGAATAGTCCAAATCTTAGAACAGAGAGAGAGTCTTGTACTAGACTTCCAGGAACCCTACTTTACTTCCAATCAAGAGGTGCATCTACTTGTTTACATGTCAGTGGGATTACACCAATCCAAAGGGGAGCTCTCCATATCCAAATTTCCAGCAGCTTGGTACTGGGGGAAAAAAGAGCTGATGTTACCTCTAAGACATAGGAAAAAAAAGAGTCCCCAGGATCTCTAAGAGATAAGTGGTGCTAGAAATTAAAGACAGCATCCCGAGAAGAAGTTGAAGAGAAGGATACACAAATACAAATAGGGTGGATCAATCGAGGCTCAGAGGGAATGCTGGCAAGGCCATGAAGTCTGGAACTGGTGACCAAAATAGGGAAAGCTTGATGCAAATGCATTGATAAAAGGACTACAAAGTAGGGATAAATCCACAGAAACATCAGATGTAAAAAACATTCTGTTGGAAGGATTTGGTCTTGGTGCCACAAAATTCAAAGTTTACAGAACATGGAATGCCAACAACAGGAAACTGTTGTTGTGAGCTAAAAGAACAAGAAAGCAGAGGTCCAGAGATCAAATACCCCCCCTGTCAACTGATGTAAACAGGATGTCCAGACAACTTTAACAAAAGATGGTGGTAGATCCATTGTGCTAAAGGGTACTCATGTGGAAAGATTGTTCTGCAGGAGATAGAGCAGTGCAACTGGTGAGGGTATAAAGAACTACACCCACCCACACACACTAGAGCAGTGCAACTGGTGAGGGTATCAAGAACTACACCCACCCACCCACACACACACTAGAGTAGTGCAACTGGTGAGGGTATCAAGAACTACACCCACCCACCCCTACACACACTAGAGTAGTGCAACTGGTGAGGGTATCAAGAACTACACCCACCCACCCCCACACACTAGCACAGTGCAACTGGTGAGGGTATCAAGAACTACACCCACACACACTAGAGCAGTGCAACTGGTGAGGGTATCAAGAACTACACCCACACACCCCCACACACACTAGAGCAGTGCAACTGGTGAGGGTATCAAGAACTACACCCACCCACCCCCACACACACTAGAGCAGTGCAACTGGTGAGGGTATCAAGAACCCCCCCCCATGCTATACTGAAGGAAACACACAAAAGAACCATGAGACAGAACCATGCTATACTGAAGGGAACACACAAAAGAACCAAGAGACAGAACCATGCTATACTGAAGGAACACACACAAAAGAACCAAGAGACAGAACCATGCTATACTGAAGGGAACACACAAAAGAACCAAGAGACAGAACCATGCTATACTGAAGGGAACACACAAAAGAACCAAGAGACAGAGAGCTGCTAAATGTCCATATGAAGACCAACAAGTATATTCTGCGTGTGAAAGCTCTCAGGACGTAGTAGAAAACATACGGGAACACATGCCTAAAAAACTCGTAGTTTGAGTACGAGAAGAAATCAAATAAATATAAGAAAAGATAGTTTGTATTATAAGCTCGAACTGAAATCAAGAAAATGAAGGTAAAAAAGATAACACTTCAAATGTTAATTACATTTAAAATAAGTGTAATATTTTCAGATTTCTTCCTAAAAGAACACCATTAAACAATTCAGAAAACAAGGAACTTTTGGTACATACAACTACTCAAGGAGTGTACTTTTATGGTTATATATTTTTGTACACAGGTTCCATAATTAGTCAGTGATCATCAATACTTTGTTGCAAGTTCATAACCAGATGTGATTATGAATATTCAGAATAACTGTAAACAACAGTCAAGGAATATGGATTGCTGCAAGAATAACACTTATCACACACACATCGTAAAATTTGATAGTGTGTTAGTGATTAAGGTAGGCTAAGCCTATATCGTCAAACTATTCGGATAGAAATCCTTTTTCATGGACTGCATTAAGTTTTATGTATTCAAACAAGCTTCATTCTCTACAGTGTACACGTTTTAATAAAACCTTTGCTACAGCATCCAACCTACGATAAAGTACACAAGGTTCTATACAGTCTACAAGCTTTTATGAACAAATTATCCCTAATAGCCATTTGGTCACTAAAACCCAACTCACTAAGAAAACTTCACTTAATGATATTGAAGAACTTACTTAATCAATATTCTTCAGTTGACATCTTTACAATGCTATTATTTAATGAACACTTATTTTTAAACTGTTAACCAATAACTCCAAACACGAGATGCCTAGTATAAAAATGGTATTCTTACTTGAATTATATCTACCTTTACTTTGAAGACTAGTTTTGTCCTGTCTGCTGGTGAACCAGGCTTGATTAACATCATTTTCATTAGAGGACATATCAGACAATCCTTGTCCATTTACAACCTATACATAGTAAACAAGGATCATGATCATTACACATCGTTTTCATTAGAGGACATCTCAGACACTTCCTGTCCATTTACCATATACATACAGTACAATAATTACACATTGTTTTCATTAGAGGACATCTCAGACACTTCCTGTCCATTTACCATATACATACAGTACAATAATTACATATCGTTTTCATTAGAGGACATCTCAGACACTTCCTGTCCATTTACCAAATACATACAGTACAATAATTACATATCGTTTTCATTAGAGGACATCTCAGACACTTCCTGTCTATTTACCAAATACATACAGTACTATCATTACATATCGTTTTCATTAAAGGACATCTCAGACACTTCCTGTCCATTTACCATATACATACAGTACGATCATTACACATAGTTTTCATTAGAGGACATCTCAGACACTTCCTGTCCATTTACCATTTAGTTACAGTACAATAATTACATATCGTTTTCATTAGAGGACATCTCAGACACTTCCTGTACATTTACAACTTAGGTACAGTAGGATCATTACACATTGTTCTCATTTCAGGAACTTCCTGTACATTTACCACTTAGGTACAGTACGATCATTACACATCGTTTTCATTAGAGGACATCTCAGACACTTCCTGTCTATTTATCATATACATACAGTACTATCATTACACATCATTTTCATTAGAGGACATCTCAGACAATCCCTGTCCATTTACCATATACATACAGTACAATAATTACATATTGTTTTCATTAGAGGACATCTCAATCACTTCCTGTACATTTACCATTTAGTTACAGTACGATCAATACACATCGTTTTCATTAGAGGACATCACCACTTAGATACAGTACAATCATTACACATTGTTTTCATTAGAGGACATCTCAATCACTTCCTGTCTATTTACCAAATACATACAGTACTATCATTACACATCGTTCTCATTTCAGGAACTTCCTGTACATTTACAACTTAGATACAGTACAATCATTACACATTGTTCTCATTTCAGGAACTTCCTGTACATTTACAACTTAGATACAGTACGATCATTACACATCGTTCTCATTTCAGGAGCTTCCTGTACATTTACAACTTAGATACAGTACATAAGGATCATGATGCTATGAGAAAATAATTTTTCAATACACATTATAAAATCCTGTTACTTTTGGGCCAAACTCTATATATCAATATCTAATGGAAACCATAATTTGAAAGTAATTTTTCTTGTAAGCTTCACATAACTATAAAGAACATCTTACACATGCAAGAAAGATCTTGAAAATAACTTCTTCATTTTAAAGTTGACGCATCAAATCTACTAGAAGCTGATAATGGTTGATATTAAAAATCCGTCCACTATAATGAAGATATTTTACAGGCTTGACATACGTCACCATACATCTTATAAACATGGTTATAAATTCTTTGTCGGTTCAGAATAAGATAAAACACATTGTGTGTAAAGGTATAATATTTTCACAAAATCTTAAGCTTTGTAAATTTTGTTGTTTTTCAATTTAACTTTTATTTTAGATGACAAAATTAACTGGTCTTCCATCACATTGGAAAGCTTGTTCAAGTATTTACCACAAGCTATTATTTCACTGAAATATTTCAACCAAAATTACAATTCTCTGTCACTTTTGGTAAGTGCTGGACAAGAGTGATCATGATAAAACAAAAACCTTACCTGTGATGCTGCTAGAAGACCAGACTGTGCACTGGCAAGAGTTTCAGTACCATCTGGTGAAGGAAAAAACTGCAGTTTCAAACTTTTACAAAAAAAAAACATGTACATGGAGCATACTTAAAACAAACAGTTCAATGTAAGAACTTTTGATTAAACATAAGCTAACTATACAGTTCAACGTAAGAGCTTTTGAGTAAACATAAGCTAACTATACAGTTCAATGTAAGAACTTTTGATTAAACATAAGCTAACTATACAGTTCAATGTAAGAACTTTTGATTAAACATAAGCTAACTATACAGTTCAATGTAAGAACTTTTGATTAAACATAAGCTAACTATACAGTTCAATGTAAGAACTTTTGATTAAACATAAGCTAACTATACAGTTCAAACTAACAAATTACTTATGTATGAAAAAACCAATTTCACACACAAAACTGACTTGAAGTATGTAATGTCATAATAAAACTGAAACCTACAATGATCAAAATGTAACAAATCACTAAAACTTTAAAATAAAAACATATATACACAATAATGAGAAAAAGTCCTAGAACAAATATAAATGAAGAATTTCAAACTAACATCAAAATGTATATATTTTTACCAGGGATGGTTAGTATGTAAGTTTGTCCATCTGTATCTAAACACAGTCGCTTGGGCGAAGGTTCTTCACATGACACGGAAATTTCCTGATCAGAATCTAATTTGAACATTCCATGAGCAGGCATACCCCCTGAAACATTGAAGATATTAATGACCAATTTCAACAGTCTCAAGTTAGTAGTTTAAAAAATAATATCATGTGATAAATTCAAACACCTAATACATTATACTATACATGTTCTTATTCAAACACCTAATACATTATACTGTACATGTTCTTATTCAAATACCTAATACATTATACTATACATGTTCTTATTCAAACACCTAATACATTATACTATACATGTTCTTATTCAAATACCTAATACATTATACTATACATGTTCTTATTCAAACACCTGGTACATTATACTATACATGTTCTTATTCAAACACCTGGTACATTACACTATACATGTTCTTATTCAAACACCTGGTACATTACACTATACATGTTCTTATTCAAACACCTGGTACATTACACTATACAT